AAATAATTAAAAATATAAGAATAAAAATTAAAAATATAAGAATAAAAATAATTAATATAATAAAATAGCATAAAAGAATAAAATAATAGGATAAAAATAGAATAAAAATAATAAATATAATAAAATAGAATACAAAGAGTAAAAATAATCGATTAAAAAGAATAAATATAACAATAAAATAGAATAAAAAGAATAAAATAATAGCATAAAAAATAAATATAATACTAAAATAAAATAATACAATAAAATTATAAATATAATAAAATAGAATACAAAGAATAAAAATAATCGAATAAAAAGAATAAATATAAAAATGGAATAAAAATAATAAAATAATAGAATAAAAAGAATAAATATACTAATAAAATAAAAATAATAAAATAATAGAATAAAAAGAATAAATATAATAAAATAGAATACAAAGTATAAAAATAATCAAATAAAAACAATAAATATAAAAATAGAATAAAAAGAATAAAATAAGAGAATAAAAGTAATAAATATAGTAAGAACATAAAAAGAATAAAATAATAGAATAAAATAATAGAATTTTAAAAATAATTTTAAAAGGAGAGAGTGCCAAGGGGTTCGACTGATTGTGTGGGATAAACGTAGAACAACTGGGCACGAATTTCCTAGGGCAGGGTAGTGTTGCTTTCCTGTGCCCTGAGCTCTTTGATCCCTAAAACCAAATAATATTAGAACTGTCTGCTGAGAAATGGTGCATTTCAGAGCTGCACTTCAGTCATTTGCCAGGTTTTAACAGATAAAAAGTGATTTTTCTAGGAAGTCAGTCAATCCAGAGGACTTGTGTTCTGCAGGCTCTGAAATCCCCCCCAGCTCTGACAGAATTAATAATTAACTTTCTTGCTGTTTGCAACTGATTTTTACGGATGGTCGATTTTTGGACACTTTGTGACGTGAAACCGGAGGGAAATCATCAGTGATCTGGTCTTTATTTGAGTTGTCTGGCCTGTTGGAAGGTGGGATGGGGGATGTTTTACAGCTCCAAGGAGGCCCTTTTGCTCCCTGGCCATTCCCTCTGCCCTCCACATCCATGGGCTGTGCCAGGGGCACGTTTCCTCTGGAGAAATGAGGGGGCAATTAATCTGGAAAATGAATAGCTGAGCTGGAAATGGGCTCACTGGGAGAGCTGTGGGGCCCACGGAGAGCATGGTAATGTGTTGCCATGTTATTGGTGCTAATCACTTAAAATGGGCTTCTTTATTAGTGGCTTTAATGAGAGCCACTTAAACTGTGCATTAAAAAGAGGGACTGCAGAGAGGAACGACAGACTGGGTAGCAGACAGTCATAATTTTAATTGAAATGCTTTTAGTACGAAAATGTTAAGGAAACCTGGAATCCAGTAATCCTTTTCTCCTTCCGAAACCCTTTCCATGATGTCTCCTCAATTACTTTTGTTTCCAGAGCTTGGCTCATTTATTTTCCTAAATGGGGATGGGTTTGAATCCCTGTAAACACACAGCTTGTCACTGAGTCACCCACTCAGAGGGGAAAAAACATGATCTTGGAGGAAATGGGGTTCCATTTGTTGGCATCGAGGAGGTTGTTCAGTTTTTACCACTGTTTTTAGTGTTCTTAATTACTTGGGGTTGTGGATCCTGTAACTGAGGTGGGCTTTGGTGGTGCTGAGGTCCTGACTGGGTCAGGTCCTGCTGTCTCTGCCACTTCTTAGTGACCACTGAATGTGTCCCTCCTGCCACTGCCTGGGAGGGAGATGTTTTAGTTCCTTTCTTTTCCCTGAATATTAACATTTACATGCTGATTTTTCCCTTCAGGGAGTGGTCTGTAGGGCAGATTGCTCTGGAATCTAACAAACTGTATAACTTTCCCAAGAATATTCCAGCAGCCCATCAGGGGAGGTATAAAAAGGGGGTGGGAGTGCTTGGAGTAGATGGTGCAGGCTGGGGCTTTTTCCTTGTCTGTGTTCAGAAAAAAGGGGGTCAGGGTTTGGGGTACCAGCCAAAATCTAAGAGAGGCAGGTTATGTTTCTTAATTTTCAGGGTTTCCTGATATTTTGGCCAAGATACTTATACCCAGACAGAGAAGACTTAGATGCAAACTCTCATTTTGAAGGGAATTCAGACTTGGGTCAACACTCTCAGGGACAGGGGGAGATTCTTGAGGTGTCCTGTGCAGGGCCAGGAGTTGGACTCAATCCTCGTGGGTCCCTTCCAACTCAGGATATTCCATGTTTCTATGATTTAGGTGTCTCCATGTGCAAGTTTTTGTCACAAAATTTATGCAATATTTTAAAAAACATGCTAATTCCTGACATCCTGCTTGTCTGCTTTTGTTTTATCTGCATGAATAAGGCAGATTTTCATTTATCAGCTTGTCTCTGCTTAACAAACCCATTGGATGTGACACCCCTGTAGTGATATTCCTCCTTTGAATGTCTCCACAGGATTTTTCCCAGGAAGCTCTCAGGGATGTGATGCTTTCCTCCGTCACAAGATGACCCTCATTTCTCCCTCCATCCTGAAGAAATACGGGATTCCCTTCGACCGGGTACGTCCAGGGATGCAGGGAACACACTGGCAGGGTGTTGGGGTGCACAGGGCACAGCACCTCTCTTTTGAGGGAAAAATTCCCTGGGGAGAGATTGGTTTAATTTCTAAGGGCATTGTTATGCTGAATGTATCCCATTGGTGGAAAGGAGCATTTGGGTTTTTGGCCGAGACACCGTGAAGTGAAAAAAAAGCTTCCACTGAACAAACTCTGGCAATTCAGGAGCCTCTCAGGTAGGGAGGGACAGGCTAATCCAGATGTTCTGGCTTATCAATCATAGAATCACAGAATCAGCTGGGTTGGAAGGGACCTCTGAGATCATCAGTCCAACCCT